TCACTTTTAAACTTTTATGGAGTCTACGGTGGTAATCAAAGCCTTGGTAACCTCCTCCTCCATAATACCACTTTAAGAGTCACTGACGCACCATCTTCATCAGTTGGTCTCGTGATTCGAGCACCTGGGGTAGCTTTAGAAGTAGTAGTTGTATCAGCACCAATGGCTGGTCCAACAATCAAATCTCGCACAAAGAGCTCAACCTGGTGAGCCTCCGATGTATTCTCAGCTTGATCTTCCCACACTCCGATAAGTATACGAGTATAAATTACATCTCCTTGAACATTCGACGGGTACACGAGGTTAAACTGATTCCCAACACTCCGATGAGTATACGAGTATAAACTGATCCTTCGCGCTCTAACGCCTTAAGAGCTTAAACTATGTAGACTTCAGTTAATGCACGAGTATAAACTGTGTTCACGTCGTGATGCCGGTCAACGCATCATAATGAAGGTCAATATTGGTCAACGTGTCACAATGAAGGTCAATGATGGTCAAGGCGTCACAATGAAGGTCAACGCCGGTCAACACATCAATAATTTCACCAAAACAAGGCTCAGGATAATTTTCAGTTCCAAATTACCCCTGGGAGTCCAATCACAGTTCAAATACAAACTCCTGACAAAGATGGTCAGTTCAACATCGATTCAACGATACGAGCTAAGTCAGATATCAACACACCAGTTTTAATTCAAGATTTTAACAACGGTCAGATGATAAATGCAGCACCGAAAGAATTTTAGACTATTCGACAAAATACTGAATAGACTAAAAGCTAAAGAAGTTAAAGAATTGAAGGCTAGGCCTATATTATCCAAAGTATTACAGACTCATCTATAAAAGAATGAGGCTGAAATACTTTGAAGGGGTATCTGTAGGTGTCAAAATTTACCTATAGGCTCTCACACGCGGCTCGAGACAAAGATAAGACGATGAACGTCGATGTTCGAGTAAAAGAAGTTTATCCGATGTCAAAAGGAAGCAAAGGAACATGCGTAGGAATGTGCGAAATAACGAATCAACGAAAATAAAGAAGTACGAAAATCGATGAAATAGCATAATGAAACACCGTCAAAGTGTCTCACCTGCGAGACACTTTAAAGTCTCACATGCGAGACACTTTAATGTGTCTCACATGTGAGACATTTTAAGGTGTCTTGCACACACAGGCTGTCTCGCCCAGTCAGCCTCCCGACGATGCGTTTTTCGATAAGTTTCTCATGATTCGTTTGTTCCAGTGCCTCCCTAACTACCTTGGGGTTATCCCTGAATGTGGTGAAGTCATTATTAACGGAAGATAAGGCTAAGCCAGAAAATCTTATCCGCGAACATGGCTTTCAAGCCCTACAATTAC